TCTGTAATGTACATATTTTATAACCGAAACATTAATTTATCTAAAGTAGTATAATATTTTCACGATTGTATATAAATTAAATATCTTTTAAATCACTGTTTGTTCTTTAATATAAAATGAAATTCAAAAATATGTACGTTTTATCAAATGAAATTTCTCTATATAAATTTATTAATTATTTTAGATGTTCATATTGTAATATTTTAATTCATATTTTAAATTTTATTATTACATGAAAATAGATATATTGTATTACGATTTAGAAATTCAAATTAAATATAAACATAACATATAAATAGTAGTTGAAATTTTTAAATACAAACTATTGATAAACGGCCATTAATTTTTTTTTACTACAACATTTAAAATTAAATAGCAATCACATATAATTAAAAAAATTTAATTATTCATAGAAATTATGGTATATATAAAAAACATAATTTGACACCGTATTTTATAAAATCTATATTTACTTTTAGTATTATTCCATAAATTATACAATAAAAATTATTATGTTTTTATAAAAACTTAATTGCAAAATGGCTTTAACTATTTATTTATGGGAAATTAACTAAAATGATATTGAGAAGTGATTTATTCATGGATTTATCATATGCAAGCTTTTATAAATTATAAAAATTACAATTTTTTACATGAAAATAAATTTTTGTATATTTTTATATATAACAATCAAGGTTTGCTTTTTTACTGAATGTTAAATTTTACTGAATTTTTTAATATTAAATTCTATTACATTATAATGAATAAGGTCACTGCAAATTCAAAATTCTTATTAGATATTAACTTTTCAAATTTAAGTAATTAATCAACCATTTTATATTTCTATGGATTTACACCTATACCTCTTTTTATTATAAAATTTAAAAGACATAACTAGCTTATTTAAAATTTTAGTGAGTAAACTACAATAGCTATTGCTGTAATAAACAAGAAGTTAAGACAAAATTCTTATTTAAATATTTTTGTTCAATATTAAATAATGTTTATAATTACTATTATTATATGAAACTATTGTATGAAAATCACAACTTTTATTTTATGTATGTTCCCAACACTAGCTACAGAAGATGATAAATTTTTAAAATAGTTAATATTTTTTTGTATACATGCTTATATTAAGGTTATACTAATGGTATATGAAATTATTGATACACTATTTTGTTGACATACACCAAATAATGCTCTTCTTAAAATTTATAAGAAACTGCTTTTCTGAAACATTTTGTGAAAAGAATATTAGATTACATAATAACAAATGTAATTCATTGTATGAATATGAGATTTATAAGGACATAATTTGAAAATTTTAAAAATTATGAGGTATTTCAATTTTAATAAATTTAAATATATTTAGTGAAGATCATCTCAGTTATAGATGCGATCACGGAAATAAAATAATAGCATCTATTTATAAATTTAATAATTGAACTTAAAACAACGTGAAAACTAAACTTTTCTTCTTAATGGTGCTAATATTTCTAAAGTTTTAGATAACAGGTACATTTCTACTCTGAAGGACTTTAATTAACTGTATAATAATTATTAGCGAGATATTTCGCTAGATTTCCTGCAACTTCGGAACATTATGTTTTTAGCGTTTGATTACTCAATTGACTGTACTCTATAATATCGCACTCTTTCTTTTTGTCTTTGTGCATGTCTCTTGAAAATGTTAATTTGCTTGGGAAACGTTCATATGAGTTAGTCTACTAATTACAGAATGTCTTATAATAAAATTAATAAGATTTTACAAATAATTATATTCAGTTATAAAAGTTTGAAAAGGATAAAAACCAATTATCAAAATTATTTTTGTATAAGTGATTTTACAACTCAATATAAAGTTGAATAAACCACAATTAATTTAGTTGCATATATATATTAAGACATATTAGTAAAAACAATTGTATTTCTAGTACTCGAAATATAGAAAAATGAAAATCATTAAAACTTCAATTAAAAGAATTTTAGAAAAAATTTACTTTTATATAAGAATGAACATTTTTATATTAATATGTATAGATTATTAAAAAGAAAATTTTAAAAGAATATTTTTTACAAATAAAAGATTTATTTATTTAGAACTTTTACAAAATACATTAAGAATTTACAAATTGAAACATATTTTTCAATACGAAATTTAAATAAAACAAAATTTTTTTTAATTATTTGTACAATTATAAAACTAAAATAAAAATGAATTTATGATTTACATTTATATACTATATTCTAACATGAAAATTGATGGTATTTAACGATCTAAATCCAATTATACTTCATTAAAAAATATATTTTTACAAGTACAAACCAAACTTGTTTGTTGTAATATCAATTATTGATTTTTAATCATAGAAAAGTGTAAATGATTAGATCAGATAAAAAACAATAAATTCAAATTAAATCACGTACATATAAAATATAATATTTTAGATTAGCATAATATTTAAATGATGAAACATTTCTTACATCTTTGTTTTCTCCAGTATTTAGATTGACTTGCGATTTACGCATATTATTACCAGTGTAAGCAACGCACTTGAGTTGCCATTCTCCAATATCCTCATTCCAATGAACATATCTTTCGATTGAAGTCTGTATTAATATATTTATTTAGATTATTTATTATTACTGTGAAAATTTTATTTTATTATAATAAAAATATAATTGTATTATTTATCAATAAAAGTATTGATTATAATTATTATAATAAAAATTCTGTGAAAAAAACATAAGTTTATACAAATTAATATTTTTATCTATAAACCGGCTATTAATTTAAAATAACAATTAATATCTTGATTATATTGTCTTTTGCAGTGTATTTAATTTATATTTTGTAAAATTTGACCATTACAAAATATTTAATTAAAAATCATTAATTAAAATTTTACTATACTTCGTAAATTTTCGATTTATTCAGTGTTCTTTTAGTTTTTTAATTATCATAAATTTCTCTTCTGAACAAACGTTTGTTTTATTTCGTACTCATTACTTATACAATAAGAGATGCAGTAAAGCAAATGTATCCAGTAATAATAAAAACTTGTAGAAACATAAATTAATTTACTGACAATTATACCTTTTCTTTTTCATTTCATTTTGTTCAGAATTAACTAAGCAAACCACTAGATGTAGTGTGGGAGAATGCGTGGGCAAGTGGAAAGATTAATACACTGATTCAATAATTAACATATGTATTTCTTATTGCTGTTTATTCTATTTACTTGCCAATATAGGGATAATTATTCATAGAGAGGTTATAAATGAACCTTTATTATTCTCAATAATGAATGTGGCGCTGCGGTGTACTTCTATTGGAGAACTAGATGGTTGTGAAGTTTCTGATTCTCTTAACGTAATGGCTTAGATAGTGATTTACTCTGAAAAGAGATAGGTTATAAAACTATCGTCACTTCATGAATATTGCCACTTGAGAATTTACGATTGCTTCGTGCTCTGATCGAACACTACAGTTCTAATCCGCGGTCATGATCCTGGCACGTATTGCAGTTTCCTCTAAATAAGTAAGCTGTGTGAGTAAGCACGAGTCTGATACAGAGGTTAGAAAGAATGGCGCGCAACCAAATGGCGCGAATTGCTAGTCTTGTGAAGTGAGCATGCGCGGAAAGCTTCTTGGGCACTAACTGTTTGTGGCCTGTGTATGAGTAGGCCGTAAAGCACAGGATCGAATACTAATGATAAGACTTACTTGGAAGTTAACTTCTCTGTTTCTCTTCACAGACATGAACGGGAAGCTTCCATGCATGATCTGCTTGCACTTCAGTAGATTGAACTTTCTTCCTTTCTCTTCATAAATATGACGGGAAGCTCCTTGGCACTAAATGCCTGACGAGACCGAATGTAACTGGGTTATGAAGCACAGAATAAAAAACTACTTTACAAGACTCAACTGATTGACTTTTTTCTTTTCCTTTTTCATGAGAACATCATGGGGCAAGAGTGAGAATAAGTCTTGACCTGTCTTGAATATTATAATTGTCTTTCTTAAATAATTTACTGAATGAGGTTCCGCTAGGGATCGCTTCCCTTTTCTTCTGTCCAATTAGAGCGCGACTTTTGGGCAGCATGATTGATCATGCACGCCTTCAATTCCACTTCCTTGCAGGTTTAGGCTTGATAATGCTAATATCGAGAAAGTATCTAAAGGGGGGAGGTTGTCTGTTATTGGTCGTTTCTCTTTTCTCTGGGTCTTAACGATATGGAAGTTCCTCTGAGAGTGCTGTCGATTGGCTAGTGCGATAGGCAAGATTCGGCGTACTTAAGAACAATGTACGCATTGTCTTAAGATGCCGAATACGTACGTACACCGATTGCCCGATGTCGCACATGCGGGGATTTGGGTTGCAATGAATTTTAGGAAATGTTTTTATGGTCAATAATTTACGTACATCTGGCACTTTCAATTGTTCTAGCATAAACAGACTCGACGCGTTCGTGCCAGTAAACAGTCAGGTCATTAATTAACACGTCAAACAATGTAAGCATTGATAATGTGAAATAAATAGCATAACTAATTTACGGGGTTTTCCAGACCTTTTCGTGTCTCCGACGTCTGTGACAGAGTTATCTTCAAGTTTTACGATCGAGTGTAATAAGTTTAATGACACTCTAGCTTAATATGAAATGAGCAGAAATTTTTCTGAAGACTAACGACAATTTTATGATGTTTTGCCAGATATTTTATTGCATTAAAAAAGGTCTCGCAATCTCGAACATTCAGCCCGCCATACGCAATTCTATTGATGATTACCTTCCTTCTCAGGGATTGGGAGAACTGTTAGTTTTTTTAATGGGTCTTACCATGGTTGTTGATGCTGTTTTTACTGTGAGTCGTGCGCCTTGGCGCAGTTTATAAATTCCTCTAGATAAGTCAGTCGATCTCTTGGCACGAGCCTTGAATTGGAGGAAGAAATGTTTTCAGCCTCTAGTTAATAAATGAATTAGAGGAAGGAGTTAGACGGAATTTACACTATGATGCAAGTAGGCTTTATGCAAGAAAAGCATGAGCGAAAAGCTCCTTGGCACAAACTGCCTGGAGCGACCTGGTCTGAGTGGGGTGTGAAGCACAGAATCGAACACTATTAATGAAAGTTTCCTTGGAAATTGTAGTGTTACTTTCTTCGTTTCTCTTCACAAATATGAGCGAAAGGCTCCTGCTAATATTTACAGTAAATAGTCAGAACTATGCTCACACTCCTGTTCAGGACGTATGGCCTTGAGAATGCATATGCTAACAACTGGACATGCTAATATTGCCAGTAAACTATAATATTCCATTTAAAATTAAAAAAAAACTTATTATTTTTAGAATACTCATAAATTTAACGTTTAAATAAATTTTTATCAAAAACTTACTTGATATTGTAATGGAATGTAGTTATTTATAATTAATTCTTGAAGCTGGAGCTCGCGCCCAATACCACGAACTCCTTCTAAGAGATCTTCCATTTCACGTTGATGTTCTTGTTGTAAATCGTGTAATTCAGCTTTAACAGATAATAACATTCTATATATTTTCTCTAATTTCTTTGCTTTTCCTGCAGCTTCATCTTGAAGAGATGAATATTTTTCTTCTATATCAATTCTCTCCGCCTCTTTTTCTTCAATTACTTTTATTAATTGCTCTTCTCTTCGTTTTCTTTCTTCAAGTTCAATAGCAGATGCAGCTAATAATGACTCTTGAACTTCAGCCTTTTCTAATAAGTTTTCTCCGCCGACAAGTATTGTATTTTGTAAGTTTAATATTTGTTTGCGTAATATTTCTTTTTCTGTTCTATAAATAAAATATGACGAATATTAATAAAGTATAACAGATATTTTGATAAATATACAAATAAAGAAAACTACATTATTTTATAAAATATTTAACATTATGAAATAAATAATTTACTTTTATATTTTCGGAGACATCTGTTAGGGACTACAGCATTTTTAAGCGGAATACAAAGTGGGAGAGGTATGAGCGCGCGAAACATTGTTTGGTAAACATTGGCCAACGGACTCAACGAATGCTTCTAGCCGAAAAACTCGAACATACGACTATAATTCGGGGAAATAATAACAAATGAACCAGACAAGGCTATGCGCTATTGACGTCATGAAAAATAGTGGCGTAGAAACAGCCACCGATGCGATGTCGGCGCATCGAGTTCGTCCGAGAATATTTAATGAGCGCACGCGCCGCGATTCCTTCTTCTAGTAACAAACACCCATCACGACGGGATCGCCACTCTGCACCCCACGCGGTTCCTGCTACCACCTCACGCAGTTCCCGCCACCACGTGTAAGCAACGCCAACGCTCGTTCTTGCATAGTACCTCATACCGCGGTCGACGCCCGCATGTAAGTAACGCCGACGTTCGTTCTTACCGTTACCTCTACACCGCGGGTTACGCTCGCATCGAGCATACAAACGTGCACCAATATCACCACTACCTTTGAGCTCATGGACACAAGCTGTGGCATCACACGGACGTTCTCCCACCACTTCGTACACTACAGCTCACCCCTCGCCGGCATTAACTTGCTGCCCCTACCACCACGAGTTCCCACTATGACTACTCAACTCAAAGAAGAAGGGGAATCACCTTCCACGCTATCAAGAACACACGCACAGACTTATCGTCACCACCACTACTGAAGAAACACTAATATATTCATTATATCATACACTCATTCCAATATTCATAGATTATTAACTATTCATTATTTATTATATTTAATAAAAAGAAAGACTATAAACATTAAAGGCAGTGAATAATTGCATTGCCACCTCCACTTGCCAGCAAGCCTCCACCCACCATCATAAGGAAGTTTTAGTCTGATCCCAGACAACATCAAATACATAAAGAAATTATTATAAATTAAACAAGCTTAAAAAATGTATTATTCATTAATTATTTTAAAAAAAATTAATTAGTCTTTATTTTTTCTGGTAGAAATTTTTAAAATAGATAATTTATATATTTGTATATTACGTTAAATTTAGTAAAGACAGTGTTTTGGATTGAACCACCGAACAAAAAATTAAAATTTAAGTCAGATCGCATTGAGAACGACGACATAGACTGGCATCTCCAGCACCTTATTCATACATGTAATTTTCGCGGCCCACGTGTACACTACCGTTTAGACCGTCGCAACTTGATTCTTATCGGACCGCTAAAGAGGGCGCCGATACTGACTGGTGGTCCCAGCCAAATCATTATTGTGGCACTGGGATCATATTATCGGTCACGCCGCAAAGAGTGGTTCTGATCCAACCACATAAGAGGGCGTCGACAATCCGTAATAGTCCCCACTACCTTCACGAGCCATTTTTGCTCAGTAAAATCTATCGCCGATTTAAACGCCTAAGCAGTCGCGAGCCGGACAACGCTCAGTACAATTCTAGCGCCGACGCAAGCGACTAGGCATTCATGAGCCGAATAACAAGCCGCTAATTTTATCACCGAATCAAACTCAAGTTTCGCGAGCCGGACAACGCGCCGCTAATTTCTCATCGAACATCAAGTATTCGCGGGCCGAACAACGCGCCGTAAAATTGATTGACATTCAGGATGTCGAAAGCCCAACAGGGCTCCCCAAAAAGCCATGGTCGAATCTAATGTTTAATGATTCTCGAACTGGAGAGACTCCTTTAATTTAGGGACTCAAGCACGTGCCTAGTACTCCCAAGTTACCTTCTTAGACTTGCACTCCCAGACGACGTTCTAACTTAATGGATAATTGCCTAGTTACTGCAAACTCAACAATTCGCACTGCAATCAGTAACACCAACATCACTGTAATAATTACTTAAATAAAGGTCAGTAAAACCAATTGTGTTAGCTCTGAGTTAATGTATTAACCTCTCACTCATCCCCCCCCCTCCATCATCCGGTGGTACGTTCTAATGCATCCACCGTGATCTGCGATCATACTGGTGGCTGGAATTCGAAACAGACAGAAATAAAATTTTTTTTGGAAAATAAAATTTGTTACGTATTATATGCCAAATTTAAGTAAATATATTTATATGTTAAAACATTCAAGATTCTCATTTTAAAACAGTTTGTAAATATCTAATTATTGTTAAAACTATTAATGTTTGATGGTAGTTAACAGAGATAGGTAGATAACATAGATAAATAATTTAAATTATTTTAACGAAAAATAATAATTTATAATTATTAAATTTGTGTACATAGTAATTATAGATATAATAGAAAAAAATTAAATATTTTTTTTATATTTTCTGTTTGTTGATATACTATATCCATAAATTTGTTATATATTTTTAATAAATTTATAGTTTTCCATAAATAAAATCATTACAAATCAATAAAACGTGTTTAGAAAAGAAATAGTTAAATTTTCAACAAATTTGATATACTAACTGTGTGCGTTTTAATTCAATTATATCTAAGTCATTAAAGGTTTCCAGATGTACTTCAGATCTTTCTCTTTTCTCTAGATTACCAGCTCCAATTTTATTATAGACAGAGGAAACGACATGGCACTTTAAATTTATTTTTGGATTGTGTTCATCCATTGTTTCCTTAGATTCTTCAGAATCATCTGAATCAGAATTGTCATGGGCGCCTTCTTCTAATTGATGTCTTAATTGCTCAATTTCAATTTGAAACTGTCTCAATAAGGCATCTTTCGGATCTTCGTTTATATGAGCACGATTTTTTATATTTTTAGCTCGATTTGCATAGCGTAACGTACTAATAGTTTCATCATAATTAATATCTGCAGGACCTATGTTTGCACACTAAAATGATTAAACACACATAAATCATAACTAATAAACAGATAAAATAATTTTTAATATCGTTATTACATTTGACATAAAAATTAAAGTTTTAGTGTTTGTTTTTTATAAAACCTGTTAGTATTTAACTCCCAAATAATGATAAAACTGAATTATTTAAATTATATATTTTCAGTGAATTATAAATCCCCATCAATGGTGGCATATATTAATTATAAAATGCTTTTAAATTGAAAACAATTTAATCAATTTAAGAAATCTTCTGTTTGTTTATTAAATTAAAAAATAAAGTCATATTTACTAAAAATATTATTATGCATAGTGTATTATCTATAATTCTTTAATACATATTTTGCAATTAAAAATAAAATAAAAGTAATTTTAGTTATTATAAGTAGCATTTATATAATTATTTCTCTCATAATTTTTATACAATCAAATATATATTGAATGTTCTCACTACTTTGCTTTCTATCCTATTTCATGATAATGATATTTATCGATATATAATTGTATTATGATCTTGTCTTTCACAGTAAAAAGCTTAAAGAAAAAAAGTAACGGAATATTGTTTGAATTTATACTTAATTTGTATTTTTTAAATTTAAAAATTAACATTTAAAAACTTATAATAATAGATCATTACATATATACTTAAGTCAGATTACTTAAAATAGTAATAAGTATAAAATTTAAGCAAAACACTCGTGTACATTTTTTAATATAAAATCTTAATATTAAATTATATATTGCAAATTTTGAAATAATTTCAACTCAAATCTTAAATTAAATTTGTGAAGTTCTATTCAAATTTATTCAAATATATAATTAAAAAATCACATATATAATTATCAATAAACATGTTTCAAGTATTTTCTTATTTTATTATTGAAACACGTCGTTTGGAATTTTCAAATATGTACAGTTTAATTAAAAAATAGTGATTTTCCTTTTTTAAATATAAATTTTTTTGTAAAATATAGACTTTATATAGATTATATTAATATATTAATAAATGTAGTTAAAACGAATAATTAATAGTAGTAGAAACATATTTAGTTTAGATTATTTTGTAATATTTGAATATCCTATTTTTCATTTATTCAATTTTATTACTTGACTAAATTGCAATAGGTTAGTTATAAATTATGTTTGGTAAATAAAGTATAATATAAAAAGTAATATTTAGATACTTGTATAGTTTAAATTATTCTTATTTAGATTCTAGATATGAAGTTAATGACTCGTGCAGATCCTGCAGTGACTCGTTATAATTGATGATCAAAAATGAAAACTTCTGTACAAATTTAATTACATATTTTAATGTGTAATTCTTTATTTATGGTTAATTTATCAGACTTAGATATAACATATGATTACGATTAAATGTTTAACAAGGTCCATTAATTAAAAATAAAATATTAAATATTGAATGGATATACTATATATATATCACTAAAATTTTTCTTTGTCATTCAGTATTTTATGCATATTTTATTTTATTCATATTTGGAAAAAAATTATAATAGGTAAAGAAATTGGCGAAAATGATAAAAATAGAATTTCCAGGTTGATAACCAGGTTGATAATCCATTAAAAAAATTAAAATCTACCATAAAATTACATTTAAGTAATTATTAAAAATTTACTAAATACGTAATAAAATTAATTTTTAATATAATTTATATTATTTTAATTAGTTAATACAATTTTTTCATAGTTATGTCCAACAAAATTCAATAAAAAATATTGTCTATTAACATAAATATAGATGAAATTATTTATGGTTATATTATTTTTTTAGTCGAAAGCTTTAATTTTCATTTATGTTTGTAATATGTTGAATATCGGCGATGACTGCAACTACGTTATAGTAATAAATTATTGAAGTTACCATTAATGTTTTTGAGTTTCCTCCCAGTGAATCTTGTAAAAGTCTTGTCAATTTTGAGTTCCTATATGGTACATGTAAACTTTGACCATCAACAAGAGCTGAAATAACATTACCCAAGGTAGACAACGAAAGATTGATTTTTGTGGCTTCTCGAAGTCTAATGCCAGTAGCTTGAGATTTATTTTGTCGTTCAGATCCCTAGTAATAAGAGTCAAGAAAATATTAAATTATCAATTCAACTTTTAAATTATTTTATAATTATTATAATAGTCTAAAATACACTATTTAGATAAAAAAAATGGAATCATTTTCAAACATATTGCTTCATATATTGGTTTTACAAAAACTTTTACAAAAACTATCAACAATGATTTTAAATATTTCGTTTCAATTATTAAATTGCTAGCAAGTTACATCACTAACGATATTTGATAGTTACTTGTTATGTAAAACCAACAATATTGTATGCTTAAAGAAATTTTTCTATTTTATAAATATCGATTTTTAAATCCTTATGCTCATCTGCATCAAAAAATAATTTGAACTTTATTGTCTTTTATTTTCAATTATGTAATTTACGTTTCATGGCATTTTCTGAAATGTTCGAAAACAAATAAAAAATACATAAATATTTATATATATGTATACATACTTAAATATACTTAGATATCTAACAACTTTTAGTTATATCTTTTTTTTAAAGATGTAAGATTTAAATTTTAAATCTTAAAATTAAATTAAATTAAATCTTAAATTAAAGTAGTAATTGATACACTAGACGACTGATTTTGCATTATATCCTAATTATATAATATTAATTAATTATTCTAACATATTATAACGTATATTGGTTATACAATTTCCAATTAAATTAAGATAATTAGTTGTCATTTTTAAAATAAAAATATAACTACGAAGGGCAATTTTTAAGTACGTTATTATCACTCGGAAAAAATTCTTAAGGGTAGATTATGTAATATGAAAAACTTGAAAGAAAATATTTTATTATAAATCTCGATATTGTCAGTAATAATTGTTTTAATTTGTATAAATTTTGATTTGCTGATATTTATCAAATTATTACTTTAATATTTCGTAATCGAACATATTCAACGTATTGTTCAGGATTGAACTACCTAATAAAAAATAACAATTTATTGTTTGTTATAATACGATTCTGATACATTATATTTAGATTAAGGCGCAATATTTGATTTATACGTTACAAAAATTCACTGGAAATTTAGCCGCGCACTTTGTCCGCATAACAGCAAAAGAAGCTCTTCGAACGTATCAAAGCTTGCTTCCAGAGAATTCACTAGAGGCTCCAAGAATTTACAACACTGAATGTACGCAATCGTATTTAAGAAGCAATGAATGGAGAAGGAAATCAGTATTGCTGAATAACTCAAGTGAAATTAGTGCCAGTCATGCCAGTGAAAGTTGAGTTCGTGTAAGGGAATACGTGCAAGGTATATATATTTGTTTATATTGATTATTCTATGGTTGCTGGCCAGCTATCGGTGCGTCCTTCGCAACGTGACGCTAGTCAGATAGCATTGAGGTCGACGACATAGACTGGCATCTCTAGCATTTCATTTACACTACTCGTAACTTTCGCGGCCCACATCTACACTATCGGTTACGCCTGTGAGACTTGATTCTTATCAGACTGCTAAAGAGGACGCCGATACAGATTAGTAGTCCTCCTTCTTATTATTTCTCATTACACTCGCGGCCCACGTCTACACTATCGGTCAGGCCTGTGAGACTTGATTTCTATCAGACCGCTAAAGAAGGCGCCGATACTACTGGGTGGTTCCCGCTAAAACTATCATCACTGTTTCACAGTGATAACATTACCGGCCACGCCACAACGATTTGGTTCTGATCAAATTACAAAAGAGGGCATTGACAATCCGTAATAATCCCCACTACCTCCACGAGCCGAATGCTGCTTATCAGAATGCTAGCCTCGACTTAAACGCCTAAGCAGTCGCGAGCCGAATATCGCTCAGTACAATTCGAGCGTTAACCCGAACGTCCAAGCAGTCGTTAGCCGAATAATGCTCCGTACAATTCCAGTATCGACTCTCGCGACACATGACTTTCGCACAAGAAAGACTCCATCAATTTAAGGGCTAAAGCACGTGCCCAACACTTCCAATTCACCTTTCAGACTTGAACAAGAGAATTTAAAAATGTAAACAAGAATCAAATTATTAAAATGTTAATGGTATTTTTCCAACATTTTATTTTTTAAACTGATATATTAAAAAAATTAATAGTTTTAAAAAATTTATAATTCTTTAAATTTGATAAGAACAGTTATTTCTTAAAAATACAGCAATTCTTTTATTGACTTTGCTATTAACTTTGATAAATAAAAAGTATATAAAATAATATATAAAATATATATAAAATATATATAAAAAAATCTGATTATTTATGTTTCTATTATATTAGAAGTTCTATATTATTTTAAAATATTATCAGTAAAATATTGATGAGAATTCTCTAAAATAAAAAAAAAACACTTTTGTTCAACAATTAAATGATTTTACAATTGAAGATACTTTAGGCTTATAATTATATTATATGAATACAAGAAATCACTATTTTACAATTTCATTACTTATTATTATTATTATTATATATTTTATGATATACTTAATATATTTATGTAAGTATTGGAATTTTTTATTGAAATATGTTGTACAAATATTTATTTTTAATAAATTTCGTATTCTAGTAAGGTAAGTGATATGATATTAAGTTTTTTTAATTTAATTATACAGTTATTAATATACTATTATTATATTTTATAAATTGCAATATTTTTAATTTGTTTGTTCATAATGAAACACTACACACAAATAGAAATTGGTAGAATTAATTAGTAGATTTTTAATATGTTAAAATCTTTTATAATGGTATAATTTATTATAATTTATTAAATCAATACAATAATTTATATTATTATATGACTTTAATAAATACTAAAAAAAATTTTAATAAATAATTTATAGAAAGTTCTTACTTAAATAAAATATCTAGAATAAATTTAAAAATAAATATTTAAAATTATTATTATAGGTTTAATATTAAATAAATTATTATAATAAAAAAGAAATAGATATTTAATATATGTACTTACAGCAAGATCAACTAGGTGTAGTTTTCCAACTTTAACGTGTTGCTGTCCATCTTCACCTATTTGACTAGACTCAACTGTTATAGTGAAAATTGCGTGAGATCGAGAACTGCATGTATTCATGGCTGTTGCTCCAGTAACTCTATTTTTATTACCTATAGTCATTATTCTATCAAGATCATCAGCATTATTAACGACATATCCACTTAAATCTTTTACGTAAACTCCAATATCTGGTCTTTCTTTCACTTCGAGCTTATGATTTTGATCTTTACCTAATAGATCCCTTATTTCTTCATTGTAAAGTTCTAAATAGGTTGCACGAACTAAAAACCTAAAAAAATTTAAATAACTACAATATTCATAGTACATTAATTGTTTAACAATCATTAATAAATGTATATATTATTAATAGATTTGTATTTGTATGTATTTTAATAAATTAGAGTATTACCATATTCTAAACAAATTAATATAGGAAGTTGTTACGGACTACAGCATTTTTAAGCGGAATACAAAGTCGGAGAGGTATGAGCGCGTGCAGCATTGTTTGGTAAACATTGGCCAACGGACTCAACGAATGCTTCTAACCGAAAAACTCGAACATACGACTATAATTCCGAGAAATATTAACAAATGAACCTCGACAAAGCTATGTGCTATTGACGTCACCTCGATTTCGTCCGAGAATATTTAAGGAGCTGCACGCGCCGCGATTCCTTCTTCTAGTTACAAGCACCCAACATGACAGGATCGCCACTCTGCTCATTACACAGTTCTCGCCACTACGTGCAAGTAACGCCGACTTTCATTCTTACATATTACCTCACCGCGCGGTTACTGCTACCATTTCACGCAGTTCCCACCACCACGTACAAGCAACGCCGACGCTCGTTCTTGCATAGGTCCTTACACCGCGATTTACGCCCGCATGTAAGTAACGTCGACGCTAGTTATTACCTTTATCTCTACACCGCGAGTTACAATCGCATCGAGCACACGAACGTGCACCAATATCACTACTACCTTGGAGGTCACGGACGTTCTCCCACCACTTCGTACACTACAGCTCACCCTTCGCAGGCTGCCAAGACGGCACTAACTTGCCTCCCCTACCACCACGAGTTCCGCACTACGACTACTCAACCCACGAAGAAGGGGAATCACCCTCCAGGCTATCAAGAACACACGCACAGACTCATCGTCATCACCACTACCGAAGAAACACTAATATATTCACTATATCATACACTCACTCAAATATTAATAGATTATTAACTACTCATTACTTATTTCATTTAATAAAGTAAAGACTACAAGCACAAAGGGCAGTATTGAATAATTGCATTGCCCCTTCCACTTGCGAGCAAGCCTCCACCCACCATCGTAAGGAGGTTTAAAGTCTGATCCCAGGCAGAAGTAATTATCTACTCGAAACAGCTCAGTTTTCTCTTGATAACCATTTCTATGATTGATCCACAGTAAATTTTGTTTATTCTGCTAGCCTTTTATTTTGAATTCATTAATCTAGTTGCATTATGTATGTTATACGATGTCTATTTTGTTAAATTTATAATTCAGATTTTATTCATTAGTGAATAATTAATAAGTGTATAATTTTTTTCTAGACAATCTCTAGAAAAAAACACCGTATACTTTATTTAAATCATGAAAACATACTCTGGCTGACCTATCTATCTTTATAACACAGGAAACAAATACCATAAGATAAAAATAGAATTGGTTGGCAATGTCAATATATTTCAAATTACATAGATAGATACCATTATCTTTGTTTCCTGACTAATTGGAATATATAAAATAGTTTACAAATTACAAAAGGTAGACTTCGAAGGATAAATTAATCTCATGAAAATTCATCTTTCATTTACGATAATTGTTGCATGATCAAACTGAGATATTAATGAAATGGAAAAAATATTAAAAATATTTAAGTAGAGTTTAACAATACAAATATTTATAATATTCAAATAAAAATCATTAATATATCAATTTAAATATTAAAATACTTGATACAAAGTTTATTAACATACAATAAACAAATTTTATAATCGAATTTCCAGCTGTTGCATTGTCCTAACTATTGTGTATCAAACTTAACAAAAGTGAGCACAAATACTTGACTAACCACTTTAACACTATCATAGGCTATTGTACATTATTATTTTCTTAAATTTTTAAACAGATAAAAACACTTTATTCATTCACTATATTATTCTTTTCGTTAGTTCTATTTATGAAGTCCACATATTTATTGTTTATACAAACGATGTCAAATAATTTTCATATTGGATTAATATCTCACCATCAATAGATACTTGATTACTAACTGAAACATGTTACTTATCTGTACTCTAATCACTACTACACCAATTTTAAGTAATACATATTGTATAATAGGACTTTCATTGTAACTTGTTCCTTGTTTTCTTCTGAAATACATTTTATTTCTTACCTTTCATAAATACCTTAAATTTTTCCTGACTCTTGTGCTTCTTTGCCTCTGACTGCAATTATTAAGGTCATACGAAAACGTCAATATCTTCGTACAGCTTTTAAAAATACAAATGCAATCATTGATATTTGTTAATAATATAAATATATACTATATTAAGAAAAATTTTTTGATAAAAACTTAGGATCCTATTAGATTTATAAAAGATATAAGAAAAATTCAAGGTAAAATGAAAGTGAACAGATGATTTTCAATATTATTTAAAATTATGCAGCTTGTTGAGATAATAAATCTATTATAAATAAAAAGAATCTAATTAAAACAACAATCTATTGACAACTGTTTCAAATCTTTATATATAGTACCATTAAAAATGATGACTACTTCTTTACAACAAATGAACAATTAAGAGAACTGTGAAAACAATAGAGACTAGGAAATACTAAAAGAAATATAGATGGGGGTAAGAAGTAAAAGATAAATAGAACATGAAGTCAGTTGCAGGAAACAAACCTTTATGGTGCCCTTTATACTTTATGGTATACCTAATACCGAATACCTTTAAGGTAAACCTTTATACTTTATGGTAGTATAGAAAGCACTTAAAACATCACTTAAAATATAACTAATTACAAACACCACCACAATCTCTTCAGATGCATCAATAATTATTTATAAAGTTAAAAGTTCACTTACTCCAATTAATTATGTTGAATTTTCAATTCTTCAATTGGTATTATTCCATGTTATATTAAACAATTTGTAAACTTTGTACATAGAATGATAAGATTTTATAAAATATGTATTAGAAAGTTTTGAAAAATTGCCACAAATTTATGAATTTACATCACCACTATTTTTCTATATCAAAAATAATTTTTTTTATTTATAAATAAAATCATGCATTCTAAAATTATTAATAAATTTAATCAGATAATTGAAATATACTCTTCTAATATTAAAATCTAAATAATTAAATATAATTTTTTATATATTTTTAACTATATTAAATTAATATCTTAAACAAACATTATTTTTGTTACAGAAATTAATATTGATATATTATTTAGTGTATGATAAAACAATAACTTAACAAATTAATAACGTAAAAAACTACTATATCATATATGTATATATATTTATAAATATTTTAAACTTACTTCTGATTTTCATCAGCCTTTGCGATATATCCAAATATGTGAGCAAAAGAATTGGGAATTACTCCTCTTAATTGTGGTGAAGTTTTTGTTCCTGTCATCGTAAATGTTTTTCCTGTTCCTGTTTGTCCATAAGCAAAAATAGTACCATTATAACCTTGTAAAACTTTGTCAATTATTGGTCTAGCTGTTTCATTATATATATCAACTTGAGTTGATTTTGAATCAAAAACAGCATCAAATGAAAATATTTTTGGTGGTTCTTCATATGTAGCGTTTGAATTATAAACTGATATAGTATTAGTAATACTATCAACATGAACTATAATTTGGCAATGATCATCCAATTCTTTAGAATTTATGGGTCTAACTCGAACGACAACTTGAACATTTTCAAATTCATCTTTTTCCATTTTTACCTACAACGCGATAATAACTTAATTATAATCGATTTATAATCATATTCATATTAATTATATTAATTTAATATATATTTCATTTATATTTATTTATATTTCAAATATATAAAAAAAAATTCAATAAATATTACATAAGATAACATAAATTTTAAAAAAGTTTAAAATATTTTTAGTATTCAAAACATACATATTAAAAATTTAAATACATTTTAGTATCATATGATACAAAACGATATAATACTCCATTGTATAAATATATAAATAAAAACACAGACAGATAAGCTAAAATTAACTATAAAAATGTAATTTGGAAACATTGTTTTTCTGTGTTATTGTTTATTTTATATTTTTACCTGTTTCTACTACTTATACATCGTCTGAGCATTTCTAATCTCATTTTTTTAATTTTTTTTTTTTGTTTTTTGTTCAAAATTTTGTTTATTTAAAAATAAATACTTATTAAAAAATTCATAAAAAAAATTAAATACATTGTTTTTTTTCATTTCAACTAATAAATAATGATATATATTTATTGTAAATTATCTTTTTTTTATAATAATTTATTTTATAATATATAATGAATTGGTTAAAAAAAGTAGGCCAATACTTATATATTATCTAAATAGTCTAAAAGAATAAGCATTAGTGTAGTTTAAGTTTGATTACGTTAAAGTAATATTTTTAAATAAATATAAGTTTGATATCATTAAATATCAAAAAATTTTATTAAGTTTTATAAAAAGTTGTTTTTCTATAAAGAATATTTCATTACCTAAACGAAAGTTAATATTTATTACTCTATTAAAGTAGAAGTAATAATTAAATATAATTTTATTTGTAATAAATAGAAATATTAATTAAATAAAAATTATATTGTCATACTATAAATATATAAAATAATTTATACTAACCTTAGAGATAGGTTAAATACACATTTGTCTTGCTTGTTTATTATTATTCCAAATTAAATTAATAACTTTTTATTTAAAAATATATTATTTCATTTAATTAATTCACGTAATTTAACATGTTTATGAACAAAAGTTAAATATTTCAATATATATAGATATTAAAGAACACTTTTCTCTTGCGCAATATATTTAACCTCATAGGTTATCATAAGCACATACAAAGTTTATATCAAATTGTACAAAATGCCAATAATAAAAATATTGTTTAGTCATTATAAAATAATAATAATAAAATTAATTTATTAATTAAAATGATTTGACTTTATTTGAAAGATTATTGTTCAGGATTGAACTACCTAACAAAAAATTAAAATTTATAGTTTGTTAAAAAACGATTCGGATATATTACATTTAGATTAAGGCGCAATATTTGAATTATACGTTACATAAATTCACTGGAAATTTAGCCGCGCATTTTGTCCGAATAGCAACAAAAGAAACTCTTCGAACGTATTAAAGCTTGCTTCCAGAGAATTCACTAGAGCCTCCAAGAATTTATAACTCTAAATGTACGCAATCGTATTTAAGAAGCAACAAAAGGAGAAGCAAAACAGCCTTATTGAATAACTCATATGAAACTAGTGCTAGTCATATCAGTGAATGTTGAACTCGTCTAAGAGAATCCGTGTAAGGTATATTCATTATTTACATTTACTATTATATTATTATTATTACTGCTGCCCGGAAATGGCGCGTTCTCCGCAACGTGACGCTAGTCAGACCGCATTGAGAACGACGACATAGACTGGCGGTCCGATTGCTTAGTAAACCGTGAAATGAAACATCTACACTTGAAGTTTGGAGTTACTTACTACTTCTTCTAGTTAACAAGCACCCATCACGACAGGACCGCCACTACTCTACACTCGCGGTTTACGCCCGCATGTAAGTAACACCGACGCTCGTTCTTACGACTACTACTACAGCGGTTCCTGCCAACTCAAGTAAGATGCGACGAGACACTCGTTCTTACTATCTGTACTCGCGGTTCCTGCCACCACCTCACGCAGTTCCCGCCACAACGTGCAAGCAACGCCGACGCTTGCTCTTGCATATTACCTCACACCGCGGTTGACGCCCGCATGTAAGTAACGCCGACGTTCGTTCTTACCGTTACCTCTACACCGCGGGTTACGCTCGCATCGAGCACACGAACGTATACCAATATCACCACTACCTTTGAGCTCACGGACACAAGCCGTGACGTCACACGGACGTTCTCCCACCACTTCGTACACTACAGCTCACCCCTCGCTGGCTGCCAAGACGGCACTAACTTGCTGCCCCTACCACCACGAGTTCCCCACTACAACTACTCAACCCAAAGAAAGAAGGGGAATCGCGCTCCAGGCTATCAAGAACACACGTACAGACTTATCGCCACCACCATTACTGAAGAAACACCAATATATTCATTCTATCACATACTCATTCTAATATTCATAGATTATTAACTATTCATTATTTATTATATTTAATAAAAGGAAAGACTATTAACATTAAAGGCAGTATTGAATAATTGCATTGCCCCTTCCACTTGCCAGCAAGCCCCCACCCACCATCATAAGGAGGTTTTTTGTCTGATCCCATACAGGAAGGGTATACAGTATATCGGTCACGTTCTTGCACTAGCTTATAATTGATCTTGTGTTGAATAATTGTCTTCTCGAAATGCTCCTTGAGTTATTGAGGTTGTTGTCGATCTTATAAGGATCAGCGACTGACTATGCACACTCATTAGTGAGTGTGATTTGTGCTATTAATAATAGCGTCATGCTAGTCTTGTAAGGACTGGCAATAATTTAAGTTACACAGACTTTGTGTGCTCACAGTGATGCAGTAACCTCTTTCTCATCCTGGGATGAGTAGTTCACCATTATGCACGCTACAAGTGAGGGAGTGTGTCTTGGGTAGACTAGCCGTTCGTGGTATGAAGGAGATAGCATTTCAACTGCAGCACACGAGGGTTGATACTTCTTCCTTCTATAGGGGGTTCGCTTAAAGCTTGATCACCGCTTTATCACCGTTATATGAGAGCCTCCTTCTTCCTTGACTTCTCCACATAGACAGCAATTGTATCTGAGTCGTCACCATATTTAAGTCCTCTGACAGTAGGTCCCCGCTCAATGATCGTCTCTGCCTTAGTTTTCTCCAATTCGTTTCTCCATTCTCCAATGCGCGTCGTTCTCGGCGGCACGACTGAGCGTGCGCACCTCTGTCTTCCGACTTATCGCCTGTAGTAGCAGCGCCTTCAATTAGCAAGCTCAGTCTTCTCTTGGACTTCGGGCCGAGAGGAGATCCTGGTCAAGCGTCGCCGCTTAGCTTGTAGAAGTGGCAACATGTAGTCGACTTAATAACAATGGATGAGTTGTGTCCCGTTACATCGTAAACTTTGTGTGTGACGCCTATTACCAGATGTCTAATGAGTTGGGTTTTCCAAGATATCTAATTACTTAAATCTTCCCAGATGTTTAGCTACAACGACTGTTTCGGAGATGTTTATCAACTTGATTATTTTCATACGTTTGACACTCTCGAAAGGTTCTCACAATCTCGTACAAATAACCCCGCGGCATCTTTCTTAGCTGACAACAAGTGGTCGATCATTGCGCTAGAAACAATGGGTGCGACTGTGGTATGAAGAACAATGGATGTGATTGAGCAGATGTATCATTTCATATGTACGGATTTTTCCGAGTGTCCAACGAACATTGCAGAATTTGCTTAAAAGTTATGACCGTTATATAATTTCCTTGAAATGATAGCCGTTGAGATTTTTCCCGAAATGATAACATTCGATAGATTCTCTGAATCTCAAACAAATATCCTATAAATTTTTAAAAAATCATAAATTGAAAAATTATAATTATTACACATTATAGACAATTTTATAATATAAATTAATATTATATTATTTAATTATCATGATTTATAAAATTTAGTTGAAATAAAAATTTATTTTATAAAATAAATATTATTTATAATAAATTTTAAATTACCTAATGTGCACCTGTTTTCTGTTCATGTCATTTAATAACGGCCAATTATTTAAACATGCTTGACAACAACAGTTAAACCAATATCTTCTAGCTAAATAATTTTGTCTGTCTATAAATTTTTTTTTGTAAAAACTGGACCATAATTCTCACCAATAATTTCATTTTTTTGGAGTAATCGACTTGCTTTTAGAATGATGATATTTCCATTAAAATATCTGAAAATATATATTATTTAGTCATATAGATTTTATATCAGTTATTGCATAATTATTGCTAGAAAATATGTATATTATAACATATAAATATATATATATATATATATATATATATATATATAAACTACTACAAAATTATGAAAAATATATTTTAAATAAATTCATAAAGGAATGTAAAAATAAGAAGAAAGTTAACACCTTAATAAAGTGTTTTGAATGAAGTATGTACACACTATATATCTGTACAGCTTCTCCACTTATGTCATTACTCAACCATCCACTAAGGCGGGCAGCGAATTTAATGGATTATTGAACACCGGCAAAACATTACTCCTATTTGATTCGTTTAGTTTTTAGCTTATTAATTCTAATTTTTTGTAAGATATATAAGTGTTTTTTAAACTTTATATATGAACATGCCTTCTGTATTTATTTAATTTATTTATAAATTCGCATATCTAATGTAATTAATAAATTTGATATGATTATTAATGTCTGGGATCAGACTAAAAACCTCCTTAGATGGTATGTGGAGGTGTTGCTGACAAGTGAAGGGACAGTGCAATTATTCAAGACTACCTTTAATGTTTGTCTTTGTTTCTTTACTAAATATAATAATAATAAATAATAATTTATTATGAAGTATGAATAATATAATAGATTAAATATAAAGTTTCCTTTATTGTTGCGTATTTATGTATTCTTCTTTTGTTGTATAATGAATAAATGCTATCTTAGCATACATTAAATTGTTGATGTATGTGTTATACTTTGGTGCCGCGTCTATGATACGTCGGTCTTATCTGTGATATGTT